CCCCTACACTTCTTTCACAACGTAGCACCTCAACTCTACTTTCAGATTACTTAGGTTCAACACCAACATCTGAACAAATACGTGAAAACCCCTTTAACCCCCCAAACCAAACATCACGACTACCATATTGGACAACGCAATCTTTCACACAAGGTGAACCAAATTTAATAAATGATCCAATAGATATTTCTACAGATACAACAACATCATAATCACTACCAGAAACATTATCACTACCATCAACACCATCAATAAGCCAGTTTTCACCGACGCATTTTCCTTTAAATTTCCCAAATAACCTCGACGCTAGATATCGAGAACAATCATCAACAAATATCCCTTTAAGATTAGACTGGAATACATTCACAGCACCTCCACCATTATTTGGACAACACCCAGAAAATTACCGACTCCACAACTGGGCACTTAATAGATTACAATATAGACAAGATATCCACGAAGACAATCGTGACCATAACATCCAAATACTCCAACAAAATAGCCTACAATTAAAATTCGAAATCACGGTTAAACTAAACAACATTGCTCAACATCCTTATCCATTAAATCCACCAAATATAACCGCTCAATCGCTACCACCGCCTTTTATAACAACTGAAGTAATATATAAATACGACAGACATACCAAGAAAACAATTGGTTACATCACATTTTATAACCCGTACTCAGGATTATCATACACATGTATATTCTAAAAACATTGATTTTTCTCCAACTCCTTTTTCTAATAATCTCCGATCAGAACATAAATCCTTCTCCTCGCACAGGACCCCAAGACCTATTAGTAACACATTACGATTGTGAAGAAAATGAACAAAAAACACTACACAAATATGCAATAAACCAAGTATCACAATGCGAAACAGAACCACAAGCTATAGAAACTACAAATGTAGTAGCGACACTCTATTCAAAAGCCCGAGCAACAACAGTTATAGGATATAAAATCACAGCAACATTTTCCGAAAAGAAAGTACATTGTTCACAAGTCTCAAATGGAAATAAAAACCGACTTGACCACGAATCATTCTACCAAAGTAATATCGAGCGACTTTTTCATCTCAATCCCGAAGATTGTAAAAACGAGTTACTAAGACTAAATATCACAAGAAATAAAAACACCGACAGAAAATTAGTATATTTCCAAGTTTTTTTTCAGATTCTGTACATCAAGCAGAACTTGAAAGATATCAAGGACATATAAAACTAGATGAAAAATACCCATACAACGGCGCACACGGAAGATTAACTTATGATATACACGATAAACACTGGATACCACACATTGGTATAAATAACCCATCGAACTGCAAAGCAGACACAAAAATTAAAGGATATCAAGAAATAATGTTTTTCGATTGGAAAATACACCTCGAAAAAATTCAACTCACACGAGATTTATCTGACAACACAATAATCTATCAAGGAATTAGATTACCCTGTAAAAACGATCAAGGTTATTGTGACCCTACAACACGAACACAAGCAACAATTGTTTGGTTTTCCGAAGATACATGTACAACATTTCAAGTAGCAAAAATACACGCTCGAATGATAAAATTTCACGAAAAAAATTTCATACAATCAATCCCATATGAACAAGTAAATCCATCACGAAAACGAAGTAATGATTTTCGAAACATCCATAATATAGAAAAAAAATTAACCCGTTTTCAAATATATCAAGAAACAGAACTAGCATGCAAATACAGAAATCCACCTCACAAAACACAATATTCTGAAATCTTAGTTGAATACGAAAAAGGTTTCGACATGACCACTGGAAAAGTAAAAATTGACCCTTATGCCACAAGTCATCCTCTAAACGAAGGAACATCATATATACCAGTCAATTTTCAAAAAGTAATGGTCAACCTGGTGGACATCTAAAGCCACGTGACACTCAAAGCACACGTCTACAAGAACTATCACTAATGAATAATTTTTATTTTGGTAATATCCACTACGATATTCACTTAGATATGAAACTAGACTACACAATTAGCCGAATTTTTTAGGAAATGTAAATCTCTGAATTAGAAACACTTCACCAACTATGCGAATTAGAACGAACACAAATCCTACAATCACTTGCACTAGCAGTATTAAAAATACCCTACGCAGGATAATTACTATCAGGAAATAGATCAAATTTTTTAGACTACGAAGGAAACATTTTATGGTTTTATACTTGTACCAAAAAAGTATCACCACTATATGTTTTTGAAGATAAAAGATGCTATAAAATAATCCCTATCTTTTATAAAAATAAAGTACATTTTGTTGACACACTCTCAAGACGAACATATTTTTGGGATACCGCAGTCCCATGTGGATCAAAAAATAGCCACAATGTAGTACAATTGAATCCTGATGAAGATAAATATTATCTTCTTACTCCATACCCCACATTAATGCAATCACTCAAAAAATTTTCACCCGAAAGCATTAGAGCTATTGCTCGAAACCCAAATATAGATTTACAATCAATTGGAATATATTCAAAATCTGATATCCAACATCACATTAGAACACAACAATTCCAGGAATTATTAACACAAATGGACACTATACAAAGACAATCAATTGACCAAAACTTACGCAAACTTGCCGAAACCGCAGGATTTGCAGACATCTACACACAAGATTATAGCGGATATTTTAAAGACATTAAAGATTATATATATCTAAACGGTGAAAAATACAGACCACAAAATAATTCACCTATAAATGTTATTAGCTTTGTTACTTTAAAAAATGAAATTCTCGATTTTCTAGGATGGCCCTACTACATCTTAGAAAAATTGACTATTTTATACGCAATGTTTAACTTTATAGGATTTCTTTTCTCACTACTAAAAGGAATCTATAATACATGCGCTATACACACACAAGTAAATAGACAAGCAAGTGTAGCACGCATACTATTTGCAGGATTTTTTGGAATTTTTTCATCATCAATAAACAAAATCCTTTTAGACGCACAAATAAAAGAATATAACACAAAAATAGCGACAAGACAGAACACGTACGACGAGGAACATAATAATATAGAAGTAACACCTACAGCACCACAGTTGCCACCCCTACCAAATAACCATCCATTATCATTAGTCCCACGAAATTTCCGAAACTTAGCAATAACACATAACCCAAATTTTAGACCAAACATATCGCAAAGTCCCATACAACACATAATGACACATCATTCACAAGATGAAAATACATATGAACAAATTATAGAACAACCCCATACCACCGCTTTTCAGTCTCAAAATAATAATTTTTTTAGCCCACGATGAGCCGACAACTTGGATCCCTAGACCGCTCAAATTCCCACCCAACCAACCTCAACACTCCAATTACAATAATTCCACTTTTTGCTTTCCCACCACCCGATTTTCCAAATAGTAATATAACATCAAGCATGAATTCAGACACTAATTCCAATATTTCAGTTTTATACTCCATTTCACAACTAAATAATCCGAATATAGAAACCCCTGACGAATTTGCAGACTCCGAACCATCTCCATCCAATAATTTTCAAACCAACTCCTCAGTTTTTTCAAAGCCTCCTTTTCGACCAATCCCAACAAATAATCCACTCCCGTCCGTTTCTACCCCCTCTTACGCTTCACAAGTAACCCCAACCTATTCTCCATTTCATTCCGACCGATCATCTAATTCTCCCGATACTCCCCAAATCTCCCAAGAACTTGATAATTTTATAACCCTACAACAACAGCTAATACACCCTAACACCCTCACTATAAATCAGATTTCTTCCACAATAGAATCCTCAAACCCACCTGCCCCTACACCCTCTTCAGCTTATTCTGCATCATTAGCACAATCATTCACTTCCACCGAATCATCAAAAAGCACTAATAGAGCTTATCGCACTTTTAAAAGAAAATTCGCAAACCATCCATTCCCAACCAAACCAGGAACAGCCCGTGAATATATTAATCATCCACATCACACTAACACGAAAGATTTTCTAGCAATCACCTTACCTTCATTTCCACAATATACTTTAAACACCCCTAACGACACTAACGACACACGTAGTTTTGTAGATGAACATGTTTTAATGCCTACACTTCATTGGACATCATATTATCATTTTACTAATCCCCTTTGCCTACCTTTATCTAATACTCACATCGATATAGAAAGAAATCAAGATATGCTATATCGACTCACCACACCATTAACACACAGACAATTTACTTATATAGGATATAAAAAATCACTAAAAACATACACTGCACCCCGAGCTAACGAATTTACGCTAGAATATTACGATCATAATATCATCCGACCTAACCAAGACCAATTTTTAGATGACGACCGCTTCGCTAACCCACAACTAACAGAAAAATTTTTCATCAAAACACCATATGTATTTACACTCAATATATTTGATCGCAAATTTGATCACATCATCTCTGAAGCACTAACTGACATGCAAGCTTATGAAAGTTTTAAAGAAAAATTTCAATTATTTTCACTAACCTTCCACTTCCTTGAACCACATGAACGCGATTTGCACTGCTCACACGTCATTATGTTACGCACTAAACAAACCCACACATATACGTATTATCGCTTCATACAAAATCATTTTGATCTCCACACTCCATCAAGACAACCACACCACCGTTTTCAGTTTCTTAATTCAAAGTACACTTCGCCATTTTTTCTAAATTTCACATATTGCATAAAAGACACTAACCTCCACGGCATCCTCAGCAACTATGACCCAATAACACAAATGTATATATTTTGTCCCATCACGAAGACCTTTAACGCAGAAGAATCCAGACCCTTCCTTATCCCACATGAATTTATCCAACCTATAGAAATCCCAATATTAGAATTCATCCACAATACTAAATACAATCACAAATTATATAACCTCATTCAAAACACACCTTATGAGTTTGCAGTTGGCACTGAAGAACTAAAAACTATTAAAGCACTTCAATTGCTTTGGCCACTGCTTCAAACTAAAAACATCATTCGCATACTAGCAAAAATAGTAACAAATTCAGAAATAATACACGACATCTTCCCCCACGGTTTTTTCCCCGACGACTAACAGGTAAGTATAATTTATACATATTCTTCACTAATAAATTTAAAATAAATACTAACCATTCTTTACTCATGTTTCTTTTAGTTTTTTAGTCTTCATACCACGATCATTTACAAAAAACAAGAAAAACAAAATAAAAACTTGTTAAATTTATTCTAAACTTCATTAATATTCTCCACAAAATAATCTGATAAAATTTATATCAAATGAAGTAAATTAATTTATAAATTGTTTTCCCAAAAGCAGTAAATTTCATAATAATGAAAATTTGTAACTTAACTTTTCCCCAAAACTAGCAGTAAAATTAAAATTCTATGTAGTAAATTGATAAAGTAAAAATGCAGTACTAACCTTTTGATATTTTCATTCACTCGCACAAAAATTCTATCCAAACTCGCACAGCTCGCCCACGAAGAATTGTTTAAATAATGAATTTTAGTTTCAAGTTTTCACACTCAACACTCTAACATACAATAACAAGTTTCAAACTTTCCTTTAACCCGGTTGGAAAGGAATTATATACTAAACCAAACTAACCAACGCAGCTTACTAAACACCACAAATCATAAAATAACAGCATGACTAAGAAAAGAAAACCAACGGTACCCAAACCGGATTAACCCAGTTTAAAACTGGATAATTTATTCTTTTGAAGACTATTATAAAGTCTAAGAAAGAAATAATAAAACACAAAAAAGTCGAAAGACAAACCCATAACAAAAACAATTTGATTTTTGAAAAAAGGACACAACCAACGGAACATAAGAAAGACCACCATAAGCTCAACATAAAACGTTATCACATAACAGGACCTCTCACAGAAACCGCACGAAATCATACTCCCACTCCTGGCCTAACCCACCAGAGAGGACGTCCTGAGCATGCTCTATAGCCGGCCTAACCCACCGCGCTACATCCACGCTTTGTGACCACACTCCTATTTTTAATAAGAGGTACTCAAGGGTGAGTAACTCTTCAAAATAACCGAACTAAAACAAAAAGCTTTTGTGAAAACAACTAATCAAATTCATAATTAAAATATTGAACTAATAAAAATTTTATAAAATGTAAAACATACTTTGCAGTATATAGATCAGCATACAACAACAAAGACGAACATCCAAAGACAAAGTGATCCCACTACACTCGAAAAAGTATGGCCAACCACAACCAAAATGCCGTCCACAATCACAACTCAAAAGATTTAGAGTACGACTTGACTTCGCAGAAAAGGACTTCATTGAACTAGACCAATGACCACCTCGATGTTCAAGTATACGTACAGATCCGAGTTACAAGGCATCCCCTCCACGCACAATCTCCACGCCATTCCCAGACGCGGCTGAACACAAAACAAGTTCTCTACATAATACAGAAAAACCCGTCATAGCAAACCATTTTGAAATCAGATTGATTTCGTTGGGAAACACAGTCGTTGTCACAAGAAGGTACACGAAGATACGATGTTCGCCCAATACCAACGTTCATCATCCATCCTTGAATTGCAGAAAGATAATTCTAAAAAACTCTGTAAAACCCGGATGGGTGGAACCTGATCTAAACTATATTTTATGATTGGATAATTTAGATATTTTACCACTGTAAAGTATTTAATATTAACCAATCATGATCCATCTAACTAACAACCCACTTATTTGTAAGTGCTGAAATTACTTGTAATTTCAGCACCAGAGAGATTTGAATTTAACTTAGAAATTAGTTGTCTCTCCGAGAGAACTTCAGCAACCGCAACAAACCAGTATACCCTAGATCTATTGAGCCTAGCAGAGACTAGTTAAACACCCTGAGACTAGTAAGTATAAGAGTAAGATTAGGATCGGTATTAGACTAAGAAGTTGCACGAATCTATCCGGCCGAAAATAAGATAGCGTGACGAGCAGACGGTGTACCCTATCCGAAATTACTCTATGAGTTAACCACATCGGTCTTAACTCAATGTAATGCTAAATAATAACACAATTGGAGTTTTAGGTAAACAAAGGAACAGTTTGGATTTTGGTCCTTCCCCAAAGAAACGGTGCAAAAGCGACGAATCAGCGGTTTAAACATTAACTCAATGTTTCAACCACTATAATTGTTGAAAAAAAAGAAGTTAAAACGTTTTCTTTCTTTTTTTGGTACAAAGGGGATTGGAAAATATTAAGGAGGTTAAGTTACGCAGAACGCTGAAAACGTTTTTGATCACAATTTTCAAACTGTTTTTCTGGATCAAGACACATTTTTTGATATTTGAAGAACTTTGTTCAAAATAAGGTTGAAAACCTTTATAATGATACCGCACTTCATCTCATTTTGTTGCAGAAATTGTTTTCCCTAACAACAACCAAAATCAATGCTCGTTTAACTACAAAGAACGGCGGAACAATCTATGATTAACAGGCTAGCAATATTTACGACGAACAGCATGCTAAGTATGATGTTTAAGATAGTTATAATATTTTCGAGTTGACTGGCCTCAAATTTGCAGGTGCCCTCGGCCATGTATGCCAGTACGATGTAAGAGCTGACCCAGGTGCAGGGTAGTCCGAACTCTATCCAGGAGGGGGCCTTGAACTCGTAGCTGAGGGGACTGTTCATGAAGTAGTACCTGTCCAGGGCCATGATGGTCACGTGAAACAAGTCACAGCTGCCAGCCACCAACAGGTACCGCACTCGGCATGGGAAGAACCTGAGCATAGATTCGACTAAATGAGGAGTTGCGACGGCACGTGGCTGTGACGTATCATTTTTTATACATGCCATGCAGCATAATCCCATCACGTATAATTTTTCATAAATTAATTAACAAAATTCGCTGGAGTTTTTTTATATATTATTTGCTTTGTCAGCCAAGTTGGCCTGAGTAGATGTCAAAAATAATATTAGAATTCTTTAATGGAGAAATGAATAAACAGCTTTTTAAATCATTTTAAAGCTACTTTTATTCATTTTAATAAAAAATCTATGTGAGGTATTTCGTTGATCATGTGATTCAAAAAAAAGTTTTAGTCGCGTAACTTTTTCTTGTTTGACGGCGCCATCTACAGAATTCTTGTAAAAGGTCACAGTTAGACTACTCAGAAAGGAAGGTTAAAGGAAAGTGTGTTCTAAAGATACTTACTAAGCTATTCTAATTCATAAAATTAGTATTCAACAGAACTAAAAGTTGTATTGAGTTAACAAACCGATCGTATAATTATAATTGGGCTAACAGATGAACAATAACGTCCAAAAGCTATTTTGTTTTTGCCAGGTATTGTTCATGATGGAACCAGATATAAACTATATTTATTATTTGGTTATAAATTGGATATTTTATCTCTATAAAATATTTAATATTAACCATCACGATCCATCTAACTAACAACCCACTTATTTGTAAGTGCTGAAATTACTTGTAATTTCAGCACCAGAGAGATTTGAATTTAACTTAAAAATTAGTTACCTCTCCAAGAGAACTTTAGCAATCGCAATAAGCCAGTATACTCTAGATCTATTGAGCCTAGCAGAGACTAGTTAAACACCCTGAGACTAGTAGATATAAGAGCAAGATTAGAAACGGTATTAGACTAAGAAGTATCACGAACCTATCCGGCCGAAAATAAGATAGCGTGACGAGCAGACGGTGTACCCTATCCGAAATTACTCTATGAGTTACACCTAAAAATAACTCATCTGGTGCGACCAGTGAGGCTTCAAACTTCGGCATCGGCGCAGCATTACTACAATCACACAGTGGAACAAACAAAATGAATCTTATATCAGCAAATTCTCGCTTATTTACACAAGCTGAACTACGACTCTCTACTCTCATGAGAGAATGCACAGCTATAATATACACACTTACCGAATATGAATTTCTAATACTTGGATCTAAACATCCAACAGTCCTATTTACAGATCATAAACCTATAAAAAAAAATTTTACACAGAAATCAACCCCAAACCATAGAGTTTATAGATTTCAATTAATTTTAATGAAATTCCAAACTAACATATAGTTTGGACAGCAGGAAAAAATCTTGCACTACCTGATACATTAAGTAGAAATACACCACCTGAACTACTTACACGAAAAACTACAGTTGAAATACCACAAAATATTAAATTCTATCTTGCAAAAAATGAAACATCACCCAGATTGGAATGCAAATATGCAGTAAAAACTGATATAGATCAGTCACAAATAAATAACTTACAACATTTCCCACTTTATTTAGATTATCAAAATAACCACTATGAAGTAGACCTATTAGGAACATCCACATTCAAACCAATACCCTATTCACATTGGATAAAAAATAATACTCAACAAAAAACAATCAAACAACAACCACACAAAAAAGACACCTTTCCATTGATAGAAAAATAAAATTTAACTGATAAAATAAATTTATCAGGACCACCAATAAATAATTCAAAATACACGATAAATCAAGTTTTTAATCTTCATGCCCCACTCGACACAATTCCTTTATCAAAAATAGAAGTTGAAAATATTTTTCTACCACCAACAGAAAAAATTACACTACAGTTATTACAGAAATATCAAAACTTTGATCCCGTGATTCGCCAACTCAAATCATGCCACAAGTATAAAACAAAACCAACAAAAGCTGATACAACAATATTAGGAAATAAAACACTCCTCCGACACTTTAGAAAATACAATAATACAACTATTAATGAAATCACAGACCTTTTAGAATATCAAACACCCGATTTTAAAAAACCCTGCCTCCTTCTCAGCATGATGCTGATAGCATTTGATATATCCCATACACAACATACAAGAGGACACTCAGGATCAGAAAAGACATATTCAAATTTTACACAAAATTTTTACTTCCCAAATGCACCAAATTGGATTAAAGTATTATGCAACGATTGCATAATATGTCAATTAAATAAACCTTATCCAAATCAAAAACAAATAGCAACAAAACAAGATTTTAAAGGACAAAGTCTATATTTCAATCATAGAATTTCATTCGACACAAAAGGACCAATTTCACCATCCTCCGAAGGAAATTCTTATATTATGGTAATTGTTGATGCCTTTACACACTACGTAGCACTCAACCCAGTACCACATTGTAATGCTTACTACGCATACACAACACTTTACGAACATTGGATAGCTAAATTCGGACTACCAGAAATACTAGTCACAGATAACGGCACAGAATTCATTAACAACGAAATCATCACATTATGCCACCTATATAATATCAAACATAAACCACGTACATCTCATGCACCTTGGACAAATGGATTAGTCGAAGGTATGAACCGTTCACTACAAGAATACCTCAGATGCATCATTAATGGAAATGATACACGATATACTGAATGGTCAACAGATGTGAAATTATTCCCATTATCCTATAAATCACAAATAACAACAACCTTCTCAAAACCCCCTTTCCGACCTATACAATCCCACAGCCAACATACATCTCGCTACACTCCTTCTCAAGTAACCCCAACATACTCCCCATTCAATAATGAACGCTCCACCAACAACTCCCCTGATAATATCCAACTTTCTGAAGAACTAGATAATTTCATAACACTCCAACAACAATTGCTATCTCCCCACACCCTCACTATTCACCAATTATCATCAACAATAACATCATCAAATCCACCAACACCCACACCAATTTCAGATTATACTCCATCATTAACTCTACCTTCAAATAACCCTACCTTTATTTCCCCAATATACACTAAATCAATCTGACTGTAACCCTGAACCACGTCATTTTGTAGATGAATATGTATTAAAACCCACACTTTATTGGACAGCTTATTATAATTTCACTAATCCCCTTACGCTACCACTCTATAACAACACTATCGATATTGAAAGGAATAAAGACGAATTATTCACATGAACCACAGCACTCACTCCACGACAATTTACATACGTACGATATTAAAAATTTACTAAAAACATTCACTGCACCACGCGCTGACGACTATTCAATTGAATATTACGATCATCAGATCTAATCAAAACCAATTTCTTGATGACGATAAATTTGCAAATCCACAAATCACAGAAAAGTTTTTTATTAAATCATCATACATAATCACACTTAACATACTAGATAAAAAAGCATGATCAGATTATTTCAGAAGCACTATCAGACATCCAAGCATATGAATCATTTCACAAAAAATTTCAAACATTTTCACTAACCTTTCACTTCCTGACACCAAAAGAACGCGATTTACACCGCACACACGACATCATGTTGAGAACTAAGCAAACACATACTTATACTTACTATCGCTTTATCCAAAATCATTTTCATTTACACACATCATCACGCCAACCCCACAACAGATTTCAGTTCATTAATTTCAAATACAGCTCACCATTTTTTCTAAACTTCACGTATTGCATTAAAAAGACTAACTTCCAAGGCATCCTCCGAAATTATGATCCCATCACTCAATTGTATATTTTTTGTCCCCTCACGAAGAACTTCAATGACGAAGAATTCCAATCTCTGATCATTCCGCATGAATATATTCAACCCATCGAAGTACCCTTTTTAGAATTCATCCATAATACTAAATATAATCATAAAGTTTATAATCTAATCCAGAACAAACCTCATGAATTTGCAGTAGGCACCGAAGAAATAAAAACCATCAAAGCACTGCAATTGCTTTGGCCACTGTTTCAAACTAAAAACATAATACGCATACTAGCAAAACTACAAACTACCTCAGACGCTAGTCACGACATTTTCCCACACGGCTTTTTCCCAGATGACTAAAGGTATTTATGAATTTAATAATTTTCAAACTAACTATTTCAAAATCGAACTAACTATTTTTATCAGTAATTCGTATTCTCTTTAGCCTTCACATCACGATCACCTTCAAAAGAAGAAAAGACAAATAAAAATATAAACTCTGTTTTCCATTTTAAACTCTATTAAACCAACAGCACTAAATGTTGCAGTAAAAGTTAATTCAAAGTAGTAAATTCATTTCTAAATTATTCCCCCAATATAGTAAATTTAAAATACGATGCAAATAAATTACCTTTTAACCCGAAAAACAGTAAAATATCACCTTAAAAGCAGTAAAAATTCATACGAATGAAAAGCAGTACTAACCTTTTCTATAACTTCTGTTTAAACGCACAGAAATTCTATCCACAATCGCACAGCTCGCCCACGAAGAATTGCTTAAAATAATGAATTCAAGTTTTAAGTTTGCACTCAAACAAGCAATTACAAGTTTCCACTTTTCCTTTAACCCGGTTGGAATGGAATTATATAAAAACCAAACTAACAACGCAGCTTACTAAACACCATAAACCATAAACTAACAGCATGATTAAGAAAAGAAAACCCACGGTACCCAAACCGGATTGAACCAGCTTAAAACTGGATAAATTTTTTTTTGAAGTCTATTACCAAGTCTAAAAAAGAAACAATAAAACACCAAAAAGTCGCAAGACAAACCCAAACCACAAACAATTTGATTTTTGAGAAAAGGACACAACCAACGAAACAAAAGGAAAACAAAAAAAATATAACACAAAAGTTAACACAAAACAGGACCCCTTAAAAACCAGCACGAAATCATACTCCCCTTCCTGGCCTAACCCACCAGAGAGGTCGTCCTGAGCTTGCTCTTCAGCCGGCTTAACCCTCCGTGCTACATCCACGCTTTGTGACTACATCACTATTTTTGACAAGAGGTACTCAAGTGTGAGTAACACTTAAAAATAACTGAACTAAAACTAAAACGCTTTTGCGAAAACAATTAATCAAAATCATAACTAAAAAATAAGAACTAACAAAGTTTTATAAAATGTAAATTATAATATGCAGTACATAGATCACGAACAACGACAAGAACGAGCATCCAAAGACTAGACGAACCCATCACACTCAACCTACAGGATGGCTAAATACAAGTGAGATGCCGCTCACAATCACAGCTCATAAAGGATTTAGAGTACGACTTGACTTCGCAGAAAAGGACTTTATTGAATCAGACCAATGACCATCTCGATGTTCAAGTATACGTACAGATCCGAGTTACAGTCATCCCCTCCAAACACGATCTTCACGCCATTCCCAAACCAGATCGAAACACAGTTCTCCACAACCAATCAAGAACAGACGATCATAGCAAACCAACTTGAAATCAGATTGATTTCATTGACAGTCATAGTCTTTGTCAAACGATAACTAACCACTTCCTATCGATGACTCCAGCTTCTTGGAGCTTTCTTCTTCAAGAACAAAAACAAAACAGGAAATGATGCTCGTCAAACAACAAGGACCAACATCCATCCTTCATTACAGATAGAAGATCTAAGATTCAAAACTCTGTAAGCCCCGGATGGGTGGAACCAGATACAAACTATATTTATTATTTGGTTATAAAAAAGGATATTTTATCTCTATAAAATATTTAATATTTACCAATCACGATCCATCTAACTAACAACCCACTTTCTTGTAAGTGCTGAAATTACTTGTAATTTCGGCACCAAAGAGATTTGAATTTAACTCAGAAATTAGTTACCTCTCCAAGAGAACTTTAGCAATCGCACTGAGCCAGTATACTCTAGACCTATTGAGCCTAGCAGAGACTAGTTAAGCACCCTGAGACTAGTAGATATAAGAGTAAGATTAGGATCGGTATTAGACTAAGAAGTTGCACGAATCTATCCGGCCGAAAATAAGATAGCGTGACGAGCAGACGGTGTACCCTATCCGAAATTACTCTATGAGTTACACCTAAAAATAACTCAATGAGCATCAGAGTTACGTATCATCAATAGAGGTTAAGTGGCACCGCTGCTGCACGGTAATTTCGAGTTACTACTACTTCGCAATAGTGTGATTGAACTGGCCAGTAAGTGGAAGTTTGAAAATTCTTATCAGTTTCAACTGATTAGTTTTTCGTTACTGAAAGTTCTGTATAGGAAAACTTATGAAAAAGAAACATTGTAGTTTAAAAAACTAGCGAAAGGCAGACCAGAGCTTAGGGCTTTTAAGACGAGGCGGCAGAGTTTCAAAACTGAAGCTTAGAACCAATTTTGCTCTAAACATTTATGATTGAAGTTTCCAAATCAACAGGAGGGATGCTGTTTTAATTGAAATAACACGGGCACATAATTATAACAGATGTGCCAGAAAATTGTGCAAATAATTCAATATAAGAACTAATGCCGGCAGACATATTCAGGGGCGGATCTATGAATTTCATGAAGGGAGGGGGGCTTTCATAGGTCGACCAAATTGATTTTCTGAGCAATCCAAATCACTATAAAATGATTTGTAACAAATTTTCTGCCCCACAAGCACATTTCTGGAAAAACAGGCACAAAAATTGTTTTTTGGTTTTTTTTTTGGAAAATTTTGACAAAAAATAGCGTGTTTTTGCTGCGCGATCCTCCCTCAAAACTATTATATATATGCGCCAAAATAGTACATATTGGCGCCTTTAGAAAAGTTTAAGGGGCAGTCAACAGAAAATGGATACCTTTGGGTCGGCAGGGGGTCGAATCCCTGAGGGGATGGGGTGGCATTCCTCCGAGTCCTCTTCCTAAATCTGCTACTGGGCATTATAACAAAACATAGCCAACACGCAGATGGAGAATTGTCAATGCGAGTAAGGAAACAAAGACTTTGACTTGCTACTTTGAAAAAACTTCAATTTTCGAATTCAAAACAATAACCTTAGATCTCTTTGAATTTCTAGAGCAATTGTGGAACTTGTTTGATAAAATAAACCCAATTTGAGAAAACTGGATCAATAAGTAGATGTTTTTGTTCCACTGAGAATTCTGGAAACTAAACTCATTTTTCTATACTAGAAATTGAAAATGTTTCTTGAAAATGTTGATTTTTTTCCTGAAAAAATATTATCGCGAGATATAAAAATATCACCACGTTCATTGGCATTTTAAAACAATTACGAACTCAGCAGCATATTTTTGGCTGTTTATTCTGTTCTATCTTACCACGCAGTGATGGATTTGAATTTATTAGTCTATCTACCAGTGGTAATTGGACTGTTCGATTTCGGTGATGACGACACAGATCACAATCACAGTGGCGTAGATGAGCTCGTGGAAGCTGGTGCTGGTCGCAATGAAGGTCTTCCGGTTGCGGATGTCTGGACACATGAAGATGATGGTGAGAATGGAGAGAGAGCCGAACACTCCTAGAGACACCAGTAAGAAAATAACGGATATCGAAGCACATTCAAACATTTGAACAACGCAGTTCTCTTTTATCATCCAGATTTTCAATAGTGAGGAAATCACATACGAAAGCACACACCTTTTATTCGGAAACGACATCAAATTTCAGAGTTTCAAAAATATCGGTGGCTGAATTGACCGGATGAGATTGAATGCTTCGTTTGCTGTAAATGGCTGAACATTCAAAAAGCAACAAAAGAAAATAAATCAATCATCGGAAACGTTTCAGTTTCACAAAAAACGACCATTCATTCTTTCCCATTCTTATTGCCCTCTTCATAATAAAACTTAAGAAAACAATTTGGCGCACTAAAATGAAGATAAAATTAAGTTTTAGATTTTCGTCTTAAATAAAATGGGGTGCGCGGGCTAGTGCTATCTACAGCTCAACACAATCCATCTACGAATAGAAGCCGACTCTGAGAACCGCTGCACACTCCCTCTAGTCCAAGTAGCTAGAGTCACAGAACTACGCCCCTAGCTTCAATGACTTCACATAGAGAACTGTGTTTTTGAAATTGAAAGAAAATACGCTCATGACTTGGCATTTTGAAGCGTTGATTATAAAAGAAACACTCCTCACTTTTTGACACGAGTAAGTAAATGATGATCTCTGAAACCGCAAATACCTCGCAGGCACTTTCATTAATAAAGCCCTCTGAAACTGCCCCTATCACTCTTTGTAACGAGTTTTCAGCCTAGTGCAAAGCAATCAATTGCACCAGAGTATAGTCTGCCAGACCTTTACTGAGGGGGTCTGAAACACCAGGATTTGCCTCTCAAAAGGTTGGCAAGTTGCCTTACCACCCACCTTACGAGTCCAAACCAACTTTCGGGCATAGTGCACTGTAAAAGACATCATTTAGCACAAGGCATAACATGCCTTGTGTGTCACCCTCGTGCGAAAACTTCAGAAAAACTCATTGGCATTGGGATATTAACAATGAGCTTTTTAAACGGTCGGACTGACTGTACAACACAGTCAGTCCAAACTCGTCTGTTCAGACGGAAACAGGGGTTGCTTTAGACATACCCAGGTATGAATACCAGTGTCTTCCAAGACCGATCTGGCAGCTGGTCAACACCGTCAACCGTGCAACGTCATGCATCCTAACGAGGAAATTACAGGACACCAAATTATGATTCGAAACAAAATAGCAGTATCCAGATTTTACAATGGCCTGATGTTCCAGAAAAAGACGAGTGAAATTCCAGAATAATGAATACGACCTGAACTGAGAGCCATATTAGGGAAATAATAAAACTAGCTGCGTTAGTTGAAAGATACTTGTGACTGCGGTAAGTGGAAGATACTTTCGATTGCAGTTACTTAAAGTATCTTTCTGATTGCAGAATCAGAAAGACAATTTAAAACAGAGACGCGTCAATTTGCAATCATGAAAAATTCATTTGCTGAACCAAGCCAGTACATGGGGCTACAATAAATAAATAGACACTCAAATTCAACGAGCATATGAACAAAAGTTTTTTCTTTACGTTTTTGTCGTTTTCTCTGAAACTTAAAACAAATATAGGGTTGAACATTTTACACTTGCTAGATGAAATTATTTAGGGCGAAACTCAAAACATCCTGCTTTGAAGGCGTAGGGTAGCCAATATATCCTAAATTATTTTAGAGGTGTTCTTGATCTGGAAACAACATAAAAAATCTGAAGCCATGGTCTTAAATTGGTTCTTAGGGAGACTGAGGAGCTTGGTTCAGTCCTCAGACAACAGAAAACTGAAAAAGAGGTTAAATGAAAGAGTGATTCGGACCGGCTTCAAAAACTATCGTATTTAGTTTGACGACACAAACATGGGGGCAAGTTCACGAAAATTTGTCCAAATTTTAGAGACAATATAAGTGCTATGAGAATCCTGTGTATAGATCGAAGCAGTCAGTTTTGCAAAACAATTGCGGGAGCAGCTCTTTTATTGGCTCATTTCGTTCATCCCCGAGAAATGAATTATAAATATTTAACTCTTTTTTTTTTGACGCAAGACGGAGTCACTTTTTCAATTTTTTTCTTAGTAGTTTTTCCGTTGTATAAAGAGGAAGCCAAGCTCATCAGTCTCCCTAAAAACCAATGTATTACCATGTATTCAAATTTCTTATACTGTTCGCGAGGATGTTTCCAGATCAAGAACACCTCTGAAATAACTAAGCATATACTAGCTATTCTACGCCTTCAGAGCAATGTTTTTTGAGTTTCGACCCGGCTAAGTCTTTCTAAATAGTTTCATCTAGCAAGTGTTAAATTTTTAACCCTGTATCTTAATAAGTTGCAGAGAAAAAGACGGAAACGCGAAGAAAAATAGCTCGTTCATATGCTCGTTGAATCATGTGTCTAGTTATTTTGGTAGCCCAGTGTAGCACAAAATGTTCGCACCACAGCCATGTGTGCATTATAAAAAAAGATTAAACTTGTAGCGTTTTTTTGAAGTTGGAATCAGCAAGTTCAATATACATTTACTACGAGCTGAATTTTTTTGAATTTCAATAATTATAGAAAAGGCTTAAACATTTGATAAAAAGGATCCTCTGTCCGCTCTGACATAATCTAAAAGAAAAACTTCACATTAGTTTTTTCCGATGATCAGAAGTTGTATCTCGATTCACGACTGAATAAGATTTGAAGTCCATCTGACCTTTATTTCGGTAACTGATTTTGGGTTTAAAATATGGCCCAAAATCTAATTTCCGTTGCTGCAGAATGAATTTTGAGTTTTTGAATCGATGTTTCATAGTCCTTTTCGCCTTCCTTTTGTAGCATTTACTAAAACTTATCGCCCTTCTACTGATGTTATTGCTAGCAGTATCTACAAATTAAAAAACCAATAAAATTTTAATTATTTGTCTTGATATTGTGAATAAATTACTAAAGAGTATAAATAGCCCTGAGCAATAAATCTCACTCGCATTGACAAAAATGGGTAATTTAAAAATGGATTAAGATAATTATCTATAAGAAAATTATCTAGAAAAAATGGATGAATTTAAAGTGATTTTGAATCGATTTAAATTGATCTCATTTAGTAGTGACCCATGTATGTTCTAGGTCTGAATCTGGCTCTGAGCACGACTGCATTTGTGACAAAATCCATACATGCATCAGATCTGATCCTGACTTTTCATGTTCAAATGAAACATAGTCCACAAGATTTGAAATCGGCAAGATTTTAAGATGCTCAGATATGATTTGAAATAAGTTTTTTATTTGAATGGTTTTTCCGACTCGCTAAATTCCATCCAAATCTCACTTGAATCAGATTTTGAGCTCAAAAATATGCAACGAAATCATAGAACATTATCATTTTATATCTGATTTCCAAGTTTTTGTAGGGTACGGGCATGCATATTTTTGTGTTCAAAATCTGATTATTAGATATTTTACTTGGCACGAGTAAACTTATGAAACAAAAAAAGAAAAAGTTCATCTCATCCATGAAAAGCACGTAACTTTTATGAACAATTAGAAAAAAAGTCCCATCGTACTATCACACTACGCTACACTTGTGTAAAACCACCTATGAGAATAGAAATTATGAAATGTGGGGGGGGGGGGGGGGCAGAATATGGGCTTTATATTATCGATTTTCATACTGTATATAATCTCTATAAAATCTGTTCCAATCTACTTTAACCCATCTTTGCCAGTGCGGGCAGCACCTAATAAACTTTTAAATATGAGAGTTAAAATTTGCAATAGATGACTTCATAGACCACTTTGTCCAGAGTTCTATTGTTCCGAGTAATGCGTAGTTGACTGCACTTTGAGAAATTCGGCGGCCTGAAACACAGATAACCATTATATGCCTTTTTTACGCTACCTGATTCGTATGACTCACTTTCTAAAACGATTCAATCACGAGGTAAAAGACCTGCACACTGGCTCTTCAGTTCTTAAGGGAGAACTACTGATCTGCCAATTTGAAAATACATGATTTTTTGTAAGTTATTTCACTGGACTGGGTAATTCTTTCTCAACCAGACAAAACAAGCTCGGATTGTAGCGGGAATCGAACAACAGACCTCAAAACAAATGAAACATAGCCAACAGACAGTTGGAAAAGAGTCAATGAACGCATGTAAGCAAAAAAATACTATCTTGTTTTTGAAAAAGTGTCAATTTCGAAACATAGTCAACAGACAGTTGGAAAAGAGTCAATGAACGCATGTAAGCAAAAAAATACTATCTTGTTTTTGAAAAAGTGTCAATTTCGAAACATAGTCAACAGACAGTTGGAAAAGAGTCAATGAACGCAAGTAAACAGAAAAACTGACTCGCTTTTTTTTTAATAATCTCAACTTTCCAAATTCTAAGAAAAAAAACAGATGCCTTTAAAGCTCTTTGAATTTATAGAACTATTTAAGGTTTGTACATTTTGATAAAATTAACTCAATTTGAGAAAACTGAATCAATAGGTAAAATTTTAATTTCACTGGGAGTCTGAAAAAATAAAACTAACTTTAAAAACTAGAAGTCGGTCACGTTTTTCGTGGCCTGTATACTTTTGCTTGCTGTTCGATAGTGGAGTTTGCCTTCCTGTAAAAAAAAACAATGAATAAAATTAAAAAAAAAATTTAAAGACAAACGCGAAATTTTTTTTAAATAGCCTGAACAAATTTTAAGACTTTTCCTGAAAAAAAAATCATCGCGACCTGTATATGAGTCTGAACTAAGCTCATTCACTCTTATTTTTAAAGAAGATGGCCTTGAAGCTCTTTGAATTTACAGAACAATATATGGTTGAAATTTTATGAATAAAATTACCCCAATAAGAGCAGAGTAAACTGGATCAATAGGTAAAAAATTTTTACTTGTCTGGTAAAACTGAAATTAGAAGTCGATCATGTTTTCATAGAAGTTTACACTTTAGCTGCTTTATAGTGAAAATTACCTTCCTTTTAACAAAAGAAATGAGCTGAAATTGAAAAGAACTCAAAAGTCAACCCACAAAAAGTAAACTTGAGCCTGAACAAATTTTGACTTTTCCTGAAAAAAAACTTATCACGACCTATATAAAAGTCTAAACTGCGTTCATTAACTATTGTAAAAATAACTTTTAAGTGATTAATTACATCTAGTTACTGAGACCAGGGACCTCGGTCCACTCACAGGAGAAAAAATCAACATTATTTTTCAGATAAAAGTCGAAAATTGAAATAATAGAAATTCGTATCAAGAACCTTGACTGTACTCAAACACCTCTTTTTATAAGAATGCGAGGCTTTATAAGAACATCATTGCTGATTTTGTTACATGGTATCCAGAAGATAAAAGAGAAGGAGTTAGTCGTTACAAGGAATAAATTTCGTATATTTTTAACCAAGTTCTTCACGTTATGTGCTATAGGGGAAAATAGTAAACAAGTTCCAGTTAGCCTCTGTGACCGGATGAATCTCAGGAAAAGGTACTAACCATTTCGGGAGTGATGTCCCGCTGAGGCTGGGCCAGCATCTCATACCCCACCATAAATTTCTGCACTGAGGCGGACCGCAACAGGGGTGGGTAGTAATGCAAATGAAGTTGCCAGTGGGAATACTCCCCCTCCTCCTCTTTTTCCCCATAACCATCTCCGGTGGGTGCACCATGAAATCCCATCGAGTATGGAAAGGAACACGTGAATAAGTTGTCATACTTGGTCGTCAAATCTTTCATCATGCGGGCTAGAGAATCCCGCTCTGAATGGCTCAAGTCAGTCAGTCTGAGTCTGTGACTCAGAGGTAGGACTATGGTCTCGAAAGGCCATAGCGCCCAGTATGGAACTATGGCCACCCAGTGGTCGTTTTTAACAACTATCCGCTCGTGTTTTTGTAACTCTTTGTTAACATAGTCGATCAACAAATTCGACCCATGTTTGTTTTTGTAATTTCGCAAGCAAGTATCCTGAAAAAAAACCAAGCATGTAAAAATTTTTTCGCTTTTGATTTATAAAGTAACTATAATTAACCTCTTTTGAGCATTCTTGGGGCAAGAAATCACTAGACCAAATCTAAAACAGCGAACAATATCATGAAATCAACACACAGGCGAAACTGCGCTTAACGAACCTTAGCGAGAATACGACAAAAACGAGCTTTATAAAGTGAAACAAGAAAAAATAGAAATAAACCTCGAATTAGTAAAACTTCGCTACACATGGGCTTCGAACGTGCGAACTCGAGAAATGAAGTCTCACGCCCTGACCTCTCGGCCACGAGCGCGTAATCACCGGCAAACACTAATCACAAGAAAGCAGCTACGTATGCTAACAAATTGCCAATGCGATGCAGTAAAAATGGCACCAAATAGCCACAATTTTGCAAGTAATAGTTAATAGTTTGGAATAAAAAAACTGAAGGCATCCACACTAAATTTACATGTCATAAATTGGAAAGCACATTATGTATATATTATGCAATTTGAAAATTGCGAGTTATATTGAGTTTCTGAAATCGCGTTGTTATTATTGTTATGTTGTTTGAAACAAATACATTTTTTTCGGATCATTTGATGAATTTAAAATGCACCCACTGCGTTAACTTATAATTATTCTAATGTCAAAGCACATGCTATCGAAAAGCCGTAAAAGTGCCCCCAAAGTGCCACCAATATTGGCGACTTAGGATAGAAAAAAAGAGCACTAACGCTCAGTAAAGTACGGTAAAGTAAATAGAACAGGTAAAATGAATAGCATTGCCCCTTTTTACTCGCGATAGTGAAGTTTAAATCGAGACTATAAATTAAGACGAGATAGCGAAGCGCTACTTCTTAAGCCCAGGTTGACCAAAATGCTAATCATACAATTTTTATGCAAATCCATAAGTACAGAAAACTGCATGGAAGGTCTATGAGTCTAGTAACTTTTTATACATGAAAGTTCTTTGTACATAAAAGACAGTTCTTTGAAAATTCGATGACAAAAATGACAAAGATGAGCAAAATGTATGAATATTGTATGATTAGTATTGTTTCATAGACTTAATTTATGGAATTGTATGATTAGCATTTTCGTTCTATGGAAGTGAACCCGGAAGTCCACAATTTTCTCACAAAAAAACCATATTACACCGGCTTCATAGGAAAAAAACAGAATCGACAATATAAATTGAACGTGAACAAATCCCTCTTAATTTTGGAACCTCTTTTTCAGAAAATCCAACCACTCTTTATTAATTCAATTTTGTTACTCTTTGCAGGTTATAGAGAAAAAATTCGGGGGATATTTATTTTTCGCTTTACCAAAAAAACTAGTTTTCTTGGCTCTCTTCATCTATTCCCTCACTTATTTAATTGTACCTAGTAAAAAGTAACCACCACAACAAATAATAAAACCAATGGTTAGGCATATGTGGATTTCGTACCTGGTAAAGAATTCCCCCTTTTGTAACCAGGGAAATAATTGAATAGATCCGTTTTCTGACTGCTTTCTGGTTATGATGCAAGTGGTTTTTCGAAGATTGGGAAAAAGCGCAAAAAAGAAAAGCGCAAAAAAGCTGGGAACGTTCAAAATTACATGGATAAATTCAAGAGATGGGCACTAACTTGGCAATGAGGATGAGGATTGGAGCATCCCATAATTTGGCCTGAAATGCAAATTTTCAAATCAACTTCTAACATTGTTAATTCTTTGCGGAACAGATTTGCACGGTCTTCTTTCAAAACAATTTTGTTTCTATTTAGTCTGTCAAAGACACCGAACTCATACACTCAGACAGAGAAACATCAAACTGGGAACATCAAGCTGTCAAAGACACCGAACACAGAGAAAAATTTAGGATTGAGTCCCAGTTCTCAGAGTGGCTGTTGAGAGGTGCTCGCTCACTAGTGCTGTCCAACTACCGCTCCGTGCGGAGACTTTTGCCTGCTGTGTTTCCACCCTGGGCCGGTTCGCCTCTCATCATACAACCTGGTCATGTCGCTTGCACTACACAACCATATTGACATAGAGCTTAGTGTGGACACCAGATCAACACAAGCCACCAACCAACAGTGTCCCACTCTGAGAACCGATCCCACACTCCCTGTCGTCCCAGTAGCTAGACTTACAGAACTACGCCACTAGTTCCGACAACCAATTTCGATCAATGAAAAAGTTGACCATAGAACTATCTTTTTTTTTACTTTTTCTGAATTCTGTTGATTTTTTGAAGAAGATATCATGATGAAAGTTCATACGAGAGTGTTAAAGCCGACAAGGTGAAAGGAAGGATATGATTATTATCTTATTAAAATAACACCAGCAAAATTTTACATGCAAAATTTTGTTTAGCAATTTCCGGTTTTCTTAAGAATTGGTATAAGTACGAAGCAGGCTATTTCACATATTTGGTTTTCACACTTCATTTTAATTGAACGTAAAGAATAAACATATATTCGAATTTTTATTTTTTCCCGAAACATTCTGGCTTTTCGAGAAAAAATCTGATGGAAATAGTTCGGAAACAGAGTTTTTGAAGCCCAGAAAGGTGAAAGATATCATCGCATTAAATGCATCTTACGCAGTTTTTTGCTCGAGTTTCATGACTAAGGCGTACTTAATCTACAATTGCAGCACAAAATAATCTCAATAATCAGACAACCTCTTCAACCTGGAGCTGAAAAAACCTAATATTCAAAACCTGGAAACTTGGTTTTTCAGATAGTTCGGAACCAATTAACATGATCCCCCTAATGCACTGTAAGAAGGTGTTAAGTTGGTTCTTTGTTGGAGTTTTCAACCAATCAGAATCCAGTTTTTATCCGCCTTACTAGGCACTTTCAATCTAACTTAAACAGTGAGTCGGAGGATCTTAACTTGGTTTATTCAGGACATGAGAACATAAATTTAATCTGATATTTAATACATACCCTTGTTTTCGAATATCTGCACCCACTTATAAGTTTTGCCCAGGTGCAACAGTCGATCACACCAGCTGTCAATCACAACCCTGATTTGAAGCTGGCTCATCAGAGGAATGGTCAGGCTGGAATCGGGGTGGAAACACATGACTTCGCTGAAACAATGAAACCAAAATACTCTAGAAACCCTGGACGTCTGGGTTAGATTTGGAAGGAAGATGAGGGTTTCGAAAAGCAAAATTGAATTCAGGGAGGACTTATAACTATGTCTCACTTATATCACAAAAACCGCCAATTCAAACACTTCTGTCAGTTTGCGCCTATATCATATGGTAGCTATGAAAGTATGACGCTGTAACTGTTTCCCTTTGTAAGATAGTGTAGCGCCTCAAAAAAGTGAACTTACCAGTACCCATAGGCGGATTTGTTGACAAATAGATCATCATCGCTTTCTTCCCTTTCGAAGGTTTTCTCGCCACTTTCTAGCCCTGTTCTGGGCAACAGTGCCGGGAAGTCGTTTGGAAATGTATATACTGAATCATAATCCGGGTTCACCTGAGAATTCAAAATTGAGAAAATTAGTAAACCGTTTTAAAATAGTTTCCATTTTCAAAGCACTTTGTTTGCCACGAAAAAACATTTTAAATTTACAACACAGAAGCGAAGCTGCGCTTCTCAAACACTTGCGAAAACACGACCAAAAAGCAGCTCTATCAAGTGAAAAAAGAAAAAAGTAGAAATAAGCCTCGATTAGCAAAAACTCGGCTATGCGTGGGATTCGAATCTGCGACATACTGCAGTCCAGAGCTTTTGAATCTCACGCACTATCCACACAGCTACGCAAGTTTAACAATCCATAAGCACTAATCACAAATAAAGCAGCTACATATGCTTATAAATTGCCAATGCCATTCAGCAAAAGTGAAAAGTGGCACCAAATACAAATAGACTCAGTTTTGCAAGTAATAATTTGGAATATATCAAACTGAACGCATCCCCATTAACTTGCACGTAGCAAATCGCAAATCATAAAGCCACATTTTGTATAAGTTACGCATTTCAAAAACTGCGAAATTTATTGAGTTAGAACATTTCTGAACTCGAGTTTTCATTATTGTTATGTTGTTCGAAACAAAATTTGTTTTTCGGTTCATTTGATGAATTAAAAATTCACCAACTGTGTCAACTTATTACGATTCAAATCTCAAAACATATTCTATTAAAACGCTGCAAAGGCGCCCATAAAAGTGGCACCAATATGTGCGACTTAGGTTGGTTAAAAAGAAGAATCGTACTAATACACTCGCCACTTGCAGTAAAATAAAACGCAGGTAATCATTATCGCTTACACTCATTGGTCTCACATCCATTTTATACATTTTAGCCAAATTCTAAAGAGAATTAGAACTCAAGCAGAAAAGGCTTGAGCATACAAAAGGTAGGCAGTACAGCCGGAAATCAAATGACTTTCGAACTAAACATTAGCTGGAAAATTCAAATGATGTACAAATCAGGCCAGGTACCGATATAATTTGGGGAAAATTCAAGTTGAGCAGATACCACGAGCTGAAAAACGTTTCGTAACGATCAGCTGTAAGAAAGTATACTTGAAAAAGTCGTTGAGAGGTAAAAATCTAGTGCACGACCACAAGACAATTGCTACTGCAAATGCAAGCGAAAGCTTAGTGTCAAAAAAAGCGATCCAAAATTTCATTCACGCTTCACTTTTTCTTTCTATTGCTCTATTCTTCTTAACGATACGCCTCTAACTTTTGGCAAAACATCAAAATACAATCAATGAAAAAAAGCACAGTCTCAAAAAATGGTCTTCCTTTTTTCAAATCTTATATGTTAAAAGAATATCAGAAGAATTAAAGCCATGTTTTAGCTGTAATAAGGACCAATGTCTATAAAAAAATGTATTTGAAAACTAACCAGCAGAAGGGATACTGGTAAAAAAATAAGTTTTATCTCGGCCAAATGATAATGCACTCATATGCAAGCATGCAAAAAAATACAGTTTATAAAATTCATATGGACTGGGATATTTTTCTACGAATAATCCAGTCATGTTAACTCTATGCATGCTTCGACTGTACAATCCTTATTTACATGTCCACATTGCTCCGATTCCCGGGCACCTACAAGTAACCAACAAAAAGTTTAGTTTTTAATTCGTTTTGTAAACAATCCAACTGCCTCTTTGCACCGTCATAGCTCAGTGCTTTCTGTGAAATTCAGCTATAGTGTGAGCATCTAGAGCTCTCCAAAAACTGTTAGGAGAAGATAGTTCTGAGTGGGGGTTAAGAAGAATGGACGGAAGAGTAAGCTGGAGTTGAGATAGCAGGATATGGGGAGGGTGAGAGCAAATCCTTATCAGCAGCACTAATAAGTGATAAAGTACTGAATTTTCGAAGCTTCTAGGTCGAATTTTCTTTTGGATCAAGTTGACATTCCCCCACATAGACCAAGTTAAGATCTTTCACCCCAGCATTTAATTCGCATTAAATTTGGTAAACGGTGCATGTAAAATGCTCGATTCTGATTGGATGAAAATTTCTAACTTTGAACCAAGTAAACATCACCCCAAACGGCTTTGGACGGGGGAGGGGGGGGGAGAGGTGAGGGGGGGGGGAAAGAGTATGTTATTTTGGTCCTTTCTTTTTCTAGCCTAAGTGAGTACTAATATACTAACTTCGTAAGTGTAAAGAAGCGAGGCGTAGCCACTTGCAATAAAATAAACTGAGCTACAGTGGTGATTTAAATTATCCGAACAAAATGAGCATAGCTTGAAATTTAAAACGCGTTTTTTCAAATTGGGTTGAGTTCAGACAAAAAAAATGGCGACAAAGCTTGCTTAAAATCTCAGCAGATTTGAAAAAAAAAACTGGATCAATAGGTAGTTCCACAAAAACTTTTGTTGAAAAAGGAAAAACCAAGAAAAAAAACTCAAAAACAACACTTTACTGGAAGAAATCGAAAGAGTCGGAGCATCAAAAGCTACGCTTACGATGAAACAAATAAACTAGAAAAAAGCTGTGAAATTTTAAAAAATATATATTAAATTGCTTTTTTTTCTGGTTTTTTAGCAGGTAATCATTATCGCTTACACTCATTGGTCTCACATCCATTTTATACATTTTAGCCAAATTCTAAAGAGAATTACAACTCAAGAAGAAAAGGCTTGAGCATACAAAAGGTAGGCAGTACAGCCGGAAATCAAATGACTTTCGAACTAAACATTAGCTGGAAAATTCAAATGATGTACAAATCAGGCCAGGTACCGATATAATTTGGGGAAAATTCAAGTTGAGCAGATACCACGAGCTGAAAAACGTTTCGTAACGATCAGCTGTAAGAAAGTATACTTGAAAAAGTCGTTGAGAGGTAAAAATCTAGTGCACGACCACAAAACAATTGCTACTGCAAATGCAAGCGAAAGCTTAGTGTCAAAAAAAGCGATCCAAAATTTCATTCACGCTTCACTTTTTCTTTCTATTGCTCTATTCTTCTTAACGATACGCCTCTAACTTTTGGCAAAACATCAAAATACAATCAATGAAAAAAAGCACAGTCTCAAAAAATGGTCTTCCTTTTTTCAAATCTTATATGTTAAAAGAATATCAGAAGAATTAAAGCCATGTTTTAGCTGTAATAAGGACCAATGTCTATAAAAAAATGTATTTGAAAACTAACCAGCAGAAGGGATACTGGTAAAAAAATAAGTTTTATCTCGGCCAAATGATAATGCACTCATATGCAAGCATGCAAAAAAATACAGTTTATAAAATTCATATGGACTGGGATATTTTTCTACGAATAATCCAGTCATGTTAACTCTATGCATGCTTCGACTGTACAATCCTTATTTACATGTCCACATTGCTCCGATTCCCGGGCACCTACAAGTAACCAACAAAAAGTTTAGTTTTTAATTCGTTTTGTAAACAATCCAACTGCCTCTTTGCACCGTCATAGCTCAGTGCTTTCTGTGAAATTCAGCTATAGTGTGAGCATCTAGAGCTCTCCAAAAACTGTTAGGAGAAGATAGTTCTGAGTGGGGTTTAAGAAGAATGGACGGAAGAGTAAGCTGGAGTTGAGATAGCAGGATATGGGGAGGGTGAGAGCAAATCCTTATCAGCAGCACTAATAAGTGATAAAGTACTGAATTTTCGAAGCTTCTAGGTCGAATTTTCTTTTGGATCAAGTTGACATTCCCCCACATAGACCAAGTTAAGATCTTTCACCCCAGCATTTAATTCGCATTAAATTTGGTAAACGGTGCATGTAAAATGCTCGATTCTGATTGGATGAAAATTTCTAACTTTGAACCAAGTAAACATCACCCCAAACGGCTTTGGACGGGGGAGGGGGGGGGGGGAGAGGTGAGGGGGGGGGGGAAAGAGTATGTTATTTTGGTCCTTTCTTTTTCTAGCCTAAGTGAGTACTAATATACTAACTTCGTAAGTGTAAAGAAGCGAGGCGTAGCCACTTGCAATAAAATAAACTGAGCTACAGTGGTGATTTAAATTATCCGAACAAAATGAGCATAGCTTGAAATTTAAAACGCGTTTTTTCAAATTGGGTTGAGTTCAGACAAAAAAAATGGCGACAAAGCTTGCTAAAAATCTCAGCAGATTTGAAAAAAAACTGGATCAATAGGTAGTTCCACAAAAACTTTTGTTGAAAAAGGAAAAACCAAGAAAAAAAACTCAAAAACAACACTTTACTGGAAGAAATCGAAAGAGTCGGAGCATCAAAAGCTACGCTTACGATGAAACAAATAAACTAGAAAAAAGCTGTGAAATTTTTAAAAATATATATTAAATTGCTTTTTTTTCTGGTTTTTTAGCAGGTAATCATTATCGCTTACACTCATTGGTCTCACATCCATTTTATACATTTTAGCCAAATTTCTAAAGAGAATTAGAACTCAAGCAGAAAAAGCTTGAGCATAGAAAAGGTAGCCATTACAGCTGGAAATCAAATGACTTTCGAACTAAACGATAGCTGGAAATTTCAGTTGATGTACAAATCAGGTCATGTACCGATTTAACTCGGGGAAAGTTGAACTTGAGCAGATAACACGAGCTGAAAGACGTGCCGTAACGATCATCTGCAAGAACGTATACTTGAAAAAGTCGTTGAGAGGAAAAAATCTGGTGCACGACCACAAAACACTTGCTGCTGCAAATGCAAGCAAAAACTTAGTGTCAAGAAAAACCGTTCCAAAATTTTGTTCGCGTTTCACTTTTTCTTTCTATCGCTCTATTGCTCTTAACGATAGGCCTCTGATTTTTTGCAAAAACACCAAAATACAATCAATGAACAAAAACACAGTCTCAAAAATGGTCTTCCTTTTTTCAAATTTTATATGTTAAAAAAATGTCAGAAAAATTAAAGCCACGTTTTAGCCGTAATAAGGACCAATGTCTAAAAAATTGATGTATTTAAAAACTAACCAGAACAAGGGATACTGGTTATAAATTCTTCAAGATACATCTCGGCAAAATGAAAATGCACTCATATGCAAGCTTGCGAAAATATACACTTTATAAAATTCATATGAACTGTGATATTTGTCTACGAATATTCCAGTCATGTTAATTCTATGCATGCTTCGACTGAACAATCCTTATTTTTATGTCCACATTGCTCCGAATCCCGGGTACCTACAAATAACCAACAAATAGTTTAGTTTTTAACCGTTTTGTAAACAACCCAACTGCCTGTTTGCACCGTCATCGTTCAGTGCTTTTTGTGAAATTCAGCTATAGTGTGAGCATCTAGAGCTCTCCAAAAACTGATAGGAGAAGGTAGCAGGATATGGGGAGGGTGAAAGCAAATCCTTCATCAGCAGCACTGACAAGTGATAAAGTTCTAAATTTTCGAAGCTAACATACCACCCCCCCCCCCCTCCACATTTTGAGAGGTTTTGACAAAGGATTGAGTTGGCGAAATTAAAAGCGATAAATTCAAAAAGTTCGGAAGAGCTCGCAAAGCTTATAGAAAACTCTTTCAAGTTGAAAGACAGCATGCATGGCTTGGTTTCCCCCAACTTATTGTTAAACACAACTGTCAATTATTTAAGCCCTGTCGCCATTTAGCTGATAGATGGCTGACTCCCTCGGTGGAACCCTTCATAGGCGAAGGACCGAATGAACGGTGAGAATAAAATATCAGACAATCAGATTTCAGTATTCCAAAAATTAGAAAGAACGCGTGAAAACTCAAAAAAAGTAAACAGTTACATGAACTTTTTATTGATATTTGCCGAATACAAACGTTGCAGAAAGATTTAAAGTTGTCAGTGACCGAGGGCGACTTGGAATTTTTTTTTATATCTCAAGGGTTTCGTTATAAAAGAAGCAAACTATTGGTTCATATAACTCTTGTAGTTGAACGGTAATTGACTTATTTTAATATGACTGTTTTGAAACTATTTTTGTTACTTATTTACTATTGGCTATTTTGAAACATAGCCAACAGACAGTTGGAAAAGAGTCAACGAACGCGAGTAAACAAAAAAATACTGACTTGTTTTTGAAAGAAACCTAAAAGTTCGAATTTCTAAGAAAAAGATGCCCTTGAAGCTCTTTGAATTCCTACAACAATGAAGGATAGTTTTTTTTGATAATATTATTCCAATCAGAGAAAACTGGATCAAAAAGTAAACTTTTTTTTATTTAACTGGGAAATATGAAAATTGAAATCTACTTTCGAAATAAAAAATTGATCAAGTTTTTTGTGGCCTTTACTTTTTGCTGTTCGATAGTAGGGTTTGCTTTACTTTTGACAAGAAAATGAGCTGTCTTTCAAAAGAAATCAAAAATCAAATTGCGAAAAAATCAAAAATGAGCCTGAACAAATTTTAAAACTAATCCTGAAAGAGAACTTTAAAAAAAATAATAATCGCGACCTAAATAAGAGTCTGAAGAACACTCATCCACTCTTAATTACAAAAAAAGATGGCCTTGAAGCTGTTTGAATTTCTAGAACAACTTATGATTGAAACTTTTTTTTACAAAATCAACTCAATTTGAGAAAACTGGTTTAATGAATACAGTTTTTCTTCGGCTTGGAAATCTGAAAAATAAAATCCACTCTCGACATTAGAAGTCGTTTACGTTTCTTGTACTCGATAGAGGAGTTTGCCCTCCTTTAACAAATGAAACAAATTGAAATTTTAAGGGAATCAAAAGTCAAACTGCAAAAAATCCTATTTGAGCGTGAACAAATTTTAAGAATTTTTGCTGAAAAAAATCATTTATATAAGATACTGCTCGCATTGCGTGCAAAACATGACGAGTAGTGGTTATTCAAAATTTGAAAAACCTTTCACATTGCAGAAGTCATTCGGGAATTTTGTAAATTTGGCATTCTTCACTTGGAAAAAAAAACAAAGAAACTTATATCTAAAAATATGAAAAAAGCGGAAAAGTATTTGACCTCTGCAGTTCAGAAATAGAAAAAGCGACAAAAGAATAAAAAACAATTTATGCCAATTTTTCCCTGTCAAACTTAAGTTACATGGGGTATAAAAAATCTAAAGTCGTAAATTTTCGAAATTTATTGCTTACTACTTAATCAATTTTGAAGTCATGGTTCACTCGATTTTAATGAAATTTTAAATGATAAAAAATTTCCGGCGAACCAGGGGCAGATTTAGGGGGGAGGGGTTGCGGATTTAGCAATTTAACCCCCTGTCGACCCAAAGGGTCCCCTTTTGGTTTTCAGAAATCCGTTTTTGGCCGACCGACCCTAAATTTTTTCTAAAGGCCCTTTGGCGCCAATATATACGTTTTTTTTTTCAAAAAGTCCCCAAAAAAGCTTTTCTGACTTGTTTTTTTCCCAAAATTTGCCTGCGGCGCAAAAGTTTTAAGAATTGACCAAAAAGGTATTTTTAGTGCTTTAGGAGAGCTCGGAAAATCAATTTGGTTGGTCTAAAAAAATTTTTTTTTTAAAATTTCGCCCCCTTGAGAAAATCCTAGATCCGCCCCTGCAGCGAACAATGAAAAAGAATAAATTAATATCTCAAAAAACTTATAAACTTCAAAAATCATAGTACCACTGAGTAAAAAAAACAATAACCGATTATTTTAAACCAAAAAACACTACATTGTTAAAAATAAAGATTACTCTAACAAGGAAAACACGGATAAGTCTAAGCTGAGAGCTCGTAAGTAGACGAGAGTTAACCAAAAAAAAATGTCACCAAAAAATTAACAAAGCAATTTAGTTAAAGTAATTAACCGGCAATTTAAACTATTAAAATTCGAAGCATGAAAAAAGAAATTACAGCGAGTTTACTTTAGACAATTTTTTCACAGGAAAAACGTCTTATATTTGATACCGAATAGATATCGTATTTAATTTGATACCAATTTTTATTCGCAAGTGGAAAAAACTCCATGCTCACTCATGGAGAATATAAATTTGTTTAAGACTAGCACGAAATGTGTTAGTAATCTTATAATTAACACAGATGCCAATTTTCACAGAGAACTGAACTACTTGAACAAAAAATATATTAATGATCAAAATTACAGGAGGATAGGAAAGAAAACGTTTGAACATGCCTGGCCGTTTGAGCGAACACCTCCTGGTGCCAATTGGTTTGGTTGTGAATCAGCTGTCACAACCTTTCCAGTCGATCGACCTTGAGACGAACTCTGCAGCTGGTCCTTCTTGGGCTGTTCATGCACCTTCCCCTGCCAGGGTCTTTTAGCCCGGTTAGGACAGACAAGAACCCAAGTGTCCGTGAGAGGGTTGTACCTCTGGTGGGGGCCTATCTTGACCCCTGATAAAAAATATTACGATCTGATTACGATAGTCAATTGAAAAACTAGCTACATCAGGCTGAATTCGAAAAAGAGGAGCAGTTTATCCGATAAGAGCGTGGCAAAATTTGTTCGAGAGCAAAGTCAGATATTTTGAAAACTCGAGATATTTCGAAAAAAAAATCGGGCAAAGCCGAACAAGTTTGAACAAAGACTCACAATGCCTGGTAAAATCGAACAAATTTGAACTGAGTCGAACAATGTCCAAAAAAGTCGAACCAACTTGTTCAAAGTCAAACTATGTCCTGTAAAGTCGAACAATGTCCGGTATAACCGAACAAAGTCGAGCAATGTCGCATATATAGAAAGCAAACACAAGGGTAAACTAACTGAAAAGTGGTAAGATCCAGGCTGTTTGCTTTCGTTCCTAAGCCGAAAACAATACTCTCGTTTACCTTTTAAACTTTTCTGCATGCAATGAAAAAAGCCAAAATCGGATATATATTTTTTGCTTTTTATGATGGTAATCAGAGCTAATTCAAGTTGCCTACCAGCCTTTAAAAATTTCTCGAGACTAAAACAAAAAAATTCCAATAGTTCCACCCAAAATCAGAAGATAGTCTATTCGCAATACAAAATCAACTCAATTTGAGAAAACTGGTTCAATGAATACAGTTTTTCTTCGGCTTGGAAATCTGAAAAATAAAATCCCTTCTCGACATTAGAAGTCGTTTACGTTTCTTGTGCTCGATAGAGGAGTTTGCCCTCCTTTAACAAATGAAACAAATTGAAATTTTAAGGGAATCAAAAGTCAAACTGCAAAAAATCCTATTTGAGCGTGAAAAAATTTCAAGAATTTTTGCTGAAAAAAATCATTTGTATAAGATACTGCTCGCATTGCTTGCAAAACATGACGAGTAGTGGTTATTCAAAAATTGAAAAACCTTTCACATTGCAGAAGTCATTCGGGAATTTCGTAAATTTGGCACTCTTCACTTGGAAAAAAAACAAAGAAACTTATATCTAAAAATAAGAAAAAGGCGGAAAAGTATTTGACATCTGCAGTTCAGAAATAATAAAAAAAAAGCGAAAAAAGAATAAAAAACAATTTATGCCAATTTTTCCCTGTCAAATTTAAGTTACATGGGGTATACAAAATCTAAAGTCGTAAATTTCCGAAATTTATTGCTTACTACTTAATCAATTTTGAGGTCATGGTTCACTCGATTTTAAAGAAATTTTACAAGATAAAAAATTTCCGGCGAACCAGGGGCAGATTTAGGGGGGGGGGGGGTTGCGGATTTAGCAATTTAACCCCCTGTCGACCCAAAGGGTCCCCTTTTGGTTTTCAGAAATCCGTTTTTGGCCGACCGACCCTAAATTTTTTCTAAAGGCCCTTTGGCGCCAATATATACGTTTTTTTTTTTCAAAAAGTCCCCAAAAAAGCTTTTCTGACTTGTTTTTTTTTCCCAAAATTTGCCTGCGGCGCAAAAATTTTAAAAATTGACCAAAAAGGTATTTTTAGTGCTTTAGGAGAGCTCGGAAAATCAATTTGGTTGGTCTAAAAAAATTTTTTTTTTAAAATTTCGCCCCCTTGAGAAAATCCTAGATCCGCCCCTGCAGCGAACAATGAAAAAGAATAAATTAATATCTCAAAAAACTTATAAACTTCAAAAATCATAGTACCACTGAGTAAAAAAAACAATAACCGATTATTTTAAACCAAAAAACACTACATTGTTAAAAATAAAGATTACTCTAACAAGGAAAACACGGATAAGTCTAAGCTGAGAGCTCGTAAGTAGACGAGAGTTAACCAAAAAAAAATGTCACCAAAAAATTAACAAAGCAATTTAGTTAAAGTAATTAACCGGCAATTTAAACTATTAAAATTCGAAGCATGAAAAAAGAAATTACAGCGAGTTTACTTTAGACAATTTTTTCACAGGAAAAACGTCTTATATTTGATACCGAATAGATATCGTATTTAATTTGATACCAATTTTTATTCGCAAGTGGAAAAAACTCCATGCTCACTCATGGAGAATATAAATTTGTTTAAGACTAGCACGAAATGTGTTAGTAATCTTATAATTAACACAGATGCCAATTTTCACAGAACTGAACTACTTGAACAAAAAATATATTAATGATCAAAATTACAGGAGGATAGGAAAGAAAACGTTTGAACATGCCTGGCCGTTTGAGCGAACACCTCCTGGTGCCAATTGGTTTGGTTGTGAATCAGCTGTCACAACCTTTCCAGTCGATCGACCTTGAGACGAACTCTGCAGCTGGTCCTTCTTGGGCTGTTCATGCACCTTCCCCTGCCAGGGTCTTTTAGCCCGGTTAGGACAGACAAGAACCCAAGTGTCCGTGAGAGGGTTGTACCTCTGGTGGGGGCCTATCTTGACCCCTGATAAAAAATATTACGATCTGATTACGATAGTCAATTGAAAAACTAGCTACATCAGGCTGAATTCGAAAAAGAGGAGCAGTTTATCCGATAAGAGCGTGGCAAAATTTGTTCGAGAGCAAAGTCAGATATTTTGAAAACTCGAGATATTTCGAAAAAAAAAATCGGGCAAAGCCGAACAAGTTTGAACAAAGACTCACAATGCCTGGTAAAATCGAACAAATTTGAACTGAGTCGAACAATGTCCAAAAAAGTCGAACCAACTTGTTCAAAGTCAAACTATGTCCTGTAAAGTCGAACAATGTCCGGTATAACCGAACAAAGTCGAGCAATGTCGCATATATAGAAAGCAAACACAAGGGTAAACTAACTGAAAAGTGGTAAGATCCAGGCTGTTTGCTTTCGTTCCTAAGCCGAAAACAATACTCTCGTTTACCTTTTAAACTTTTCTGCATGCAATGAAAAAAGCCAAAATCGGATATATATTTTTTGCTTTTTATGATGGTAATCAGAGCTAATTCAAGTTGCCTACCAGCCTTTAAAAATTTCTCGAGACTAAAACAAAAAAATTCCAATAGTTCCACCCAAAATCAGAAGATAGTCTATTCGCAATACAAAATCAACTCAATTTGAGAAAACTGGTTCAATGAATACAGTTTTTCTTCGGCTTGGAAATCTGAAAAATAAAATCCCTTCTCGACATTAGAAGTCGTTTACGTTTCTTGTGCTCGATAGAGGAGTTTGCCCTCCTTTAACAAATGAAACAAATTGAAATTTTAAGGGAATCAAAAGTCAAACTGCAAAAAATCCTATTTGAGCGTGAAAAAATTTCAAGAATTTTTGCTGAAAAAAATCATTTGTATAAGATACTGCTCGCATTGCTTGCAAAACATGACGAGTAGTGGTTATTCAAAAATTGAAAAACCTTTCACATTGCAGAAGTCATTCGGGAATTTCGTAAATTTGGCACTCTTCACTTGGAAAAAAAACAAAGAAACTTATATCTAAAAATAAGAAAAAGGCGGAAAAGTATTTGACATCTGCAGTTCAGAAATAATAAAAAAAAAGCGAAAAAAGAATAAAAAACAATTTATGCCAATTTTTCCCTGTCAAATTTAAGTTACATGGGGTATACAAAATCTAAAGTCGTAAATTTCCGAAATTTATTGCTTACTACTTAATCAATTTTGAGGTCATGGTTCACTCGATTTTAAAGAAATTTTACAAGATAAAAAATTTCCGGCGAACCAGGGGCAGATTTAGGGGGGGGGGGTTGCGGATTTAGCAATTTAACCCCCTGTCGACCCAAAGGGTCCCCTTTTGGTTTTCAGAAATCCGTTTTTGGCCGACCGACCCTAAATTTTTTCTAAAGGCCCTTTGGCGCCAATATATACGTTTTTTTTTTCAAAAAGTCCCCAAAAAAGCTTTTCTGACTTGTTTTTTTTTTCCCAAAATTTGCCTGCGGCGCAAAAATTTTAAAAATTGACCAAAAAGGTATTTTTAGTGCTTTAGGAGAGCTCGGAAAATCAATTTGGTTGGTCTAAAAAATTTTATTTTTTTGAAATTTCGCCCCCTTGAGAAAATCCTTGATCCGCCCCTGCAGCGAACAATGAAAAAGAATAAATTAATATCTCAAAAAACTTATAAATTTCAAAAATCATAGGAACACTGAGTAAAAAAAACAAAAACCGATTATTTTAACCCAAAAAACACTACATTGTTAAAAATAAAGTTTACTCTAACAAGGAAAACACGGATAAGTCTAGGCTGAGAGCTCGTAAGTAGACGAGAGTTAACCGAAAAAAAAACTGTCACCAAAAAATTAACAAAGCAATTTAGTTAAAGTAATTAACCGGCAATTTAAACTATTAAAATTCAAAGCATGAAAAAAGAAATTACAGCGAGTTTACTTTAGACAATTTTTTCACAGGAAAAACGTCTTTTATCTGATACCGAATAGATATCGAATTTAATTTGATACCAATTTTTATTCGCAAGTGGAAAAAACTCCAAGCTCACTCGTGGAGAATAAATTTGTTTAAGACGAGCACGAAATGTGTTAGTAATCTTATAATTAACACAGATGCCAATTTTCATAGAGAACTGAACTAGAAAGCAAACACAAGGGTAAACTAACTGAAAAGTGGTAAGATCCAGGCTGTTTGCTTTCGTTCCTAAGCCGAAAACAATACTCTCGTTTACCCTTTAAACTTTTCTGCATGCAATGAAAAAAGCCAAAATCGGATATATATTTTTTGCTTTTTATGATGGTAATCAGAGCTAATTCAAGTTGCTTACAAGCCTTTAAAAATTTCTCGAGACTAAAACAAAAAAAAATCTAATAGTTCCACCCAAAATCAGAAGATAGTCTATTCGCAATACAAAATCAACTCAATTTGAGAAAACTGGTTCAATGAATACAGTTATTCTTCGGCTTGGAAATCTGAAAAATAAAATCCCTTCTCGACATTAGAAGTCGTTTACGTTTCTTGTACTCGATAGAGGAGTTTGCCCTCCTTTAACAAAATAAACAAATTGAAATTTTAAGGGAATCAAAAGTCAAACTGCAAAAAATCCTATTTGAGCGTGAACAAATTTTAAGAATTTTTGCTGAAAAAAATCATTTATATAAGATACTGCTCGCATTGCGTGCAAAACATGACGAGTAGTGGTTATTCAAAAATTGAAAAACCTTTCACATTGCAGAAGTCATTCGGGAATTTTGTAAATTTGGCATTCTTCACTTGGAAAAAAAAACAAAGAAACTTATATCTAAAAATAAGAAAAAGGCGGAAAAGTATTTGACCTCTGCAGTTCAGAAATAGAAAAAGCGACAAAAGAATAAAAAACAATTTATGCCAATTTTTCCCTGTCAAACTTAAGTTACATGGGGTATACAAAATCTAAAGTCGGAAATTTTCGAAATTTTTTGCTTACTACTTAATCAATTTTGAGGTCATGGTTCACTCGACTTTAAAGAAATTTTACAAGATAAAAAATTTCCGGCGAACCAGGGGCAGATTTAGGGGGGGGGGGGGGGTTGCGGATTTAGCAATTTAACCCCCTGCCGACCCAAAGGGTCCCCTTTTGGTTTTCAGAAATCCGTTTTTGGCCGACCGACCCTAAATTTTTTCTAAAGGCTAATTGGCGCCAATATACACGTTTTTTTTTCAAAAAGTCCCAAAAAAAGCTTTTCTGACTTGTTTTTTTTCCCCAAAATTTGCCTGCGGCGCAGAAACTTTAAAAATTGACCAAAAAGGTATTTTAAGTGCTTTAGGAGAGCTCGGAAAATCAATTTGGTTGGTCTAAAAAAATTTTTTTTTGAAATTTCGCCTCCTTGAGAAAATCCTAGATCCGCCCCTGCAGCGAACAATGAAAAAGAACAAATTAAAATCTCAAAAAACTTATAATCATAGTGCCACTGAGTAAAAAAAACAATAACCGATTATTTTAAACCAAAAAAACACTACATTGTTGAAAATAAAGTTTACTCTAACAAGGAAAACACGGATAAGTCTAAGCTGAGAGCTCGTAAGTAGACGAGAGTTAACCAAAAAAACATGTCACCAAAAAATTAACAAAGCAATTTAGTTCAAGTAATTAACCGGCAATTTAAACTATTAAAATTCGAAGCATGAAAAAAGAAATTACAGCGAGTTTACTTTAGACAATTTTTTCACAGGAAAAACGTCTTATATTTGATACCGAATAGATATCGTATTTAATTTGATACCAATTTTTATTCGCAAGTGGAAAAAACTCCATGCTCACTCATGGAGAATATAAATTTGTTTAAGACGAGCACGAAATGTGTTAGTAATCTTATAATTAACACAGATGCCAATTTTCACAGAGAACTGAACTACTTGAACAAAAAATATATTAATGATCAAAATTACAGGAGGATAGGAAAGAAAACGTTTGAACATGCCTGGCCGTTTGAGCGAACACCTCCTGGTGCCAATTGGTTTGGTTGTGAATCAGCTGTCACAACCTTTCCAGTCGATCGACCTTGAGACGAACTCTGCAGCTGGTCCTTCTTGGGCTGTTCATGCACCTTCCCCTGCCAGGGTCTTTTAGCCCGGTTAGGACAGACAAGAACCCAAGTGCCCGTGAGAGGGTTGTACCTCTGGTGGGGGCCTATCTTGACACCTGATAAAAAAATATTACGATCTGATTACGATAGTCAATTGAAAAACTAGCTACATCAGGCTGAATTCGAAAAAGAGGAGCAGTTTATCCGATGAGAGCGTGGCAAAATTTGTTCGAGAGCAAAGTCAGATATTTTGAAAACTCGAGATATTTCGAAAAAAAAATCGGGCGAAGCCGAACAAGTTTGAACAAAGACTCACAATGCCTGGTAAAATCGAACAAATTTGAACTGAGTCGAACAATGTCCAAAAAAAGTCGAACCAACTTGTTCAAAGTCAAACTATGTCCTGTAAAGTCAAACAATGTCCGGTATAACCGAACAAAGTCGAGCAATGTCGCATATAGAGAGAGCAAACACAAGGGTAAACTAACTGAAACTAAATTTAAGACTTTGAACCGACTGAAAAAAAAGCAAACTTCATGTAGTTCCAGTTCAAAAACAAAAAAAAAACGTTTCTTTGATACGAACTAAAAATTATTCAGAAAAAAAACCTCTTCGACGGGGAATCGAACCCCGGTCTCCAACGTGACAGACTGGGATACTAACCACTATACTACCGAAGATACAATTCATCGAATAGCTTCCAACTTCACGTCATTTGAAATTCTCAAATTATAGAACGACACAATAGAACTCGATCAGCTTTTAGGAACACTGCTGTATACAGCAACATGAAATCCCAACATTTCTTGTAAAAAAACTGCTTTTTCGCATCCGAACATGGTTCCAGCAAAAAAAAACTCAACAAAAAATTATACTTGTAAAATACTTGAAAAAAAAATCAAGCTTTGAATCGACTCAAAAAAAAGCAATTTTCATGTAGTTCCATTTCAAAAACAAAAAAACGTTTTTTCGATACGAACTAAAAATTATTCAGGAGTTGAAAAACTCTTCGGCGGGGAATCCAACCCCGGTCTCCAACGTGACAGGTTGGGATACTCACCGCTTTACTACACTGTACAGTTCGGAGCATATCTGGCAAGCTCGTGTCATATGAAACTCTGAAGTTACAGAATGACACAATAGAACTCGATCAGCGTTCAGGAGTCCTGCTGTATACAGCAACATGAAATCCGATCATTTTTTGAAAAAAGCAGCTTTTTCTCATCCCAACATAGTCCCGGCAAAAAACTCGGAGCAGAATGTCATGGTTGTAAGCTATCTGAAACTAAATTTAAGGCTTTGAAGCAACTGAAAAAAAAACAATTTTCATGTAGTTCCAGTTCAAAAAAAAAAAAAAAAAACGTTTTTTCGATAGGAACTAAAAATTAATCAGGAAATAAAAACCTCTTCGGCGGGTAAACGAACCCGGCTCCAACGTGACAAGCATGGATACCCACCGCTTTACTACACTGTACAGTTCCTAGCAAATCTGCTAAGCTCGCGTCATATGAAATTCTCAAGTTACAGAATGACACAATAGAACTCGATCAGCGTTCAGGAATACTGCTGTATACAGCAATATGAAATCCGATGATTTTTTGAAAAAAGCAGCTTTTTCTCATCTCAATATAGTCCCAGCAAAAAACTCGGAGCAGAAAGTCATGGTTGTAAACTATCTGAAACTAATTTTAAGGCTTTGAACCGACTGAAAAAAAAGCAAACTTCATGTAGTTCCAGGTCAAAAACAAAAAAAAAATTGTTTTTTCGATACGAACTAAAAATTATTCAGGAAATAAAAACCTCTTCGACGGGGAATCGAACCCCGGTCTCCAACGTGACAGTCTGGGATACTCACCACTATACTACCGGAGATACCGTTCGCAGCATATCTGCCAAGTTTGTGTCATTTGAAATTCTCAAATTACAGAACGACACAATAGAACTCGATCAGCGTTTAGGAACCCTGCTGTATACAGCCACATGAAACCCCAACATTTTTTGTAAAAAGAAAACTACTTTTTCGCATCCCAACATAGCTCCAGCAAAAAAGGCTCAGCAAAAATTATACTTGTAAAATACTTGAAAAATCAAGCTTTGAACCGACTAAAAAAAAGCTGTTTTCATGTAGTTCCATATCAAAACAAAAAAAAAACGTTTTTTCGATACGAACTAAAAATTATTCAGGAAATAAAAACTCTTCGGCGGGGAATCGAACCCCGGACTCCAACGTGACAGTCTGGGATACTCACCACTATACTACCGAAGATACAATTCGCAGCATATCTGCCAAGTTTGTGTCATTTGAAATTCTCAAATTATAGAACGTCACAATAGAACTCAATCAGTGTTTAGGAACCCTGCTGTATACAGCCACATGAAATCCCAACATTTTTTGTAAAAAAAACTACTTTTTCGCATCCCAACATAGTTCCAGCAAAAAATGCTCAGCAAAAATTATAATTGTAAAATATTTGAAAAATCAAGCTTTGAACCGACTCAAAAAAAGCAGTTTTCATGTAGTTCCATTTCAAAAACAAAACAACGCATTTTCGATACGAACTAAAAATTATTCAGGAGTTAAAAACCTCTTCGGCGGGGAATCCAAACCCGGTCTCCAACGTGACAATTTGGGATACTCACCGCTTTGCTTTACTGTACAGTTACGAGCATAAGTGCCAAGCTCGTGTCATATGAAGTTACAGAATGACACAATAGAACTCGATCAGCGTTCAGGAATCCTGCTGTATACAGCAACATGAAATCCGATAATTTTGTGAAAAAAGCAGCTTTTTCTCATCCCATTATAGTCCCAGCAAAAAACTCGGAGCAGAAAGTCATGGTTGTAAACTATCTGAAACTAAATTTAAGGCTTTGAACCGACTGAAATAAAGCAAACTTCCTGTAGCTCCAGTTCAAAAACAAAAAAAAACTTTTTTTCGAAACGAACTAAAAAATATTCAGGAAATCAAAATCGCTCCGACGGGGAATCGAACCCCCGTCTCCAACGAGACAGGCTCTGATACTCACCACTATACTACCGTAGATACACTTCAGCGCATATCTTCCATGTCAATTGAAATTCTCAAATTATAGAACGACACAATAGAATTCGATCAGCGTTTAGGAACCCTGCTGTATACAGCAACATGAAATCCGATCATTTTTTGAAAAAAGCAGCTTTTTCTCATCCCAACATAGTCCCAGCAAAAAAACTCGGAGCAGAATGTCATGGTTGTAAGCTATCTGAAACTAAATTTAAGGCTTTGAAGCAACTGAAAAAAAAAAACAGTTTTCATGTAGTTCCAGTTCAAAAACAAAAAAAAACGTTTTTTCGATAGGAACTAAAAATTAATCAGGAAATAAAAACCTCTTCGGCGGGTAAACGAACCCGGCTCCAACGTGACAAGCATGGATACCCACCGCTTTACTACACTGTACAGTTCCTAGCAAATCTGCCAAGCTCGCGTCATATGAAATTCTCAAGTTACAGAATGACACAATAGAACTCGATCAGCGTTCAGGAATCCTGCTGTATACAGCAACATGAAATCCGATCATTTTTTGAAAAAAGCAGCTTTTTCTCATCCCAACTTAGTCCCAGCAAAAAACTCGGAGCAGAATGTCATGGTTGTAAGCTATCTGAAACTAAATTTAAGGCTTTGAAGCAACTGAAAAAAAAAACAATTTTCATGTAGTTCCAGTTCAAAAACAAAAAAAAAACGTTTTTTCGATAGGAACTAAAAATTAATCAGGAAATAAAAACCTCTTAGGCGGATAAACGAACCCGGATCCAACGTGACAAGCATGGATACCCACCGCTTTACTACACTGTACAGTTCCTAGCAAATCTGCTAGGCTCGCGTCATATGAAATTCTCAAGTTACAGAATGACACAATAGAACTCGATCAGCGTTCAGGAATTCTGCTGTATACAGCAATATGAAATCCGATCATTTTTTGAAAAAAGCAGCTTTTTTTCATCCCAATATAGTCCCAGCAAAAAACTCGGAGCAGAAAGTCATTTAAGGCTTTGAACCGACTGAAAAAAAAGCAAACTTCATGTAGTTCCTAGTCAAAAACAAAAAAAAATTGTTTTTTCGATACGAACTAAAAATTATTCAGGAAATAAAAACCTCTTCGACGGGGAATCGAACCCCGGTCTCCAACATGACAGTCTGGGATACTCACCACTATACTACCGGAGATACCGTTCGCAGCATATCTGCCAAGTTTGTGTCATTTGAAATTCTCAAATTATAGAACGACACAATAGAACTCGATCAGGGTTTAGGAACCCTGCTGTATACAGCCACATGAAATCCCAACATTTTTTGTAAAAAAAAACTACTTTTTTGCATCCCAACATAGCTCCAGCAAAAAATGCTCAGCAAAAATTATACTTGTAAAATATTTGAAAAATCAAGCTTTGAACCGACTAAAAAAAAGCAGTTTTCATGTAGTTCCATTTCAAAAACAAAAAAAAACATTTTCGATACGAACTAAAAATTATTCAGGAGTTAAAAATCTCTTCGGCGGGGAATCCAAACCCGGTCTCCAACGTGACAAGTTGGGATACTCACCGCTTTGCTATACTGTACAGTTCCGAGCATAAGTGCCAAGCTCGTGTCCTAAGAAATTCTTAAGTTACAGAATGACACAATAGAACTCGATCAGCGTTCAGGAATCCTGCTGTATGCAGCAACATGAAATCCGATAATTTTCTGAAAAAAGCAGCTTTTTCTCATCCCAACATAGTCCCACCAAACAACTCGAAGCAGAAAGTCATGGTTGTAAACTATCTGAAACTAAATTTAAGGCTTTGAACCGACTGAAAAAAAAGCAAACTTCATGTAGTTCCAAGTCAAAAACAAAAAAAAATTGTTTTTTCGATACGAATTAAAAATTATTCAGGAAATAAAAACCTCTTCGACGGGGAATCGAACCCCGGTCTCCAACGTGACAGTCTGGGATACTCACCACTATACTACCGGAGATACCGTTCGCAGCATATCTGCCAAGTTTGTCTCATTTGAAATTCTCAAATTATAGAACGACACAATAGAACTCGATCAGCGTTTAGGAACCCTGCTGTATACAGCCACATGAAATCCCAACATTTTTTGTAAAAAAAAACTACTTTTTCGCATCCCAACATAGCTCCAGCAAAAAATGCTCAGCAAAAATTATACTTGTAAAATATTTGAAAAATCAAGCTTTGAACCGACTAAAAAAAAGCAGTTTTCATGTAGTTCCATTTCAAAAACAAAAAAACGCATTTTCGATACTAACTAAATTATTCAGGAGTTAAAAACCTCTTCGGCGGGGAATCCAAACCCGGTCTCCAACGTGACAAGTTGGGATACTCACCGCTTTGCTATACTGTACAGTTCCGAGCATAAGTGCCAAGCTCGTGTCCTAAGAAATTCTTAAGTTACAGAATGACACAATAGAACTCGATCAGCGTTCAGGAATCCTGCTGTATACAGCAACATGAAATCCGATAATTTTCTGAAAAAAGCAGCTTTTGCTCATCCCAACATAGTCCCACCAAACAACTCGAAGCAGAAAGTCATGGTTGTAAGCTATCTGAAATTAAATTTAAGGCTTTGAACCGACTGAAAAAAGCAAACTTCATGTAGCTCCAGTTCAAAAACAAAAAAAAACGTTTATTCGAAACGAA